TCCACGCGTGTATGAACAGACAGATGAACATAGTTTTCAACAAGAAAGTATCTTCTCTGTGCATGTTTAATCACTGAATGCTAACATTAGTATACAATGCTAATATTTATTTACATAGTTGTTAACAGATTTACAGATCAAAGTTGGTCGGTTTTTTCATTACATTTAATCAATAAGTGCGAAGGAGTAAATTACTTACAAAAATTTTTACAGCACAAACTAAATGTTGTAATGGCATTTTGACGCCGGAAGAACGTCAAAATTTTGTTGATACGCATAATAAGTTGCGTTCATCATTAGCCAAAGGAAATGAAAGGAACAAAAATGGAAATCTAATGCCTAAAGCATCAAATATGCTAAAATTGGTAATTATTGAACATTCTTTTCCACGAACTCAAAGTAGACATATTATTGAAACAGTTAAAAAATCTTAATACTCAGAAAAATGCTTCATTGTTTCCTTAAAAGAGTGATAAGGTTGGAGATAAGATTCAGTTAGTATTCAATGTACAATAATGTGTTGTGGGGTTTCGAGCACGTTTCCGATTCTTTTGAAGGCAAAGAAGTAACCTTATTTGTCAGAAGAGAAAGGCTTGAAATTTTGTCGAGATAAACAATATCTTTAGTATTGTTTGGTCAATTTGTTGCAGTTCGTTGATTCACAGATTTTGAATTAATCACTTCTTGATAAACATAGGAAGTATGAAAATTCAAATTTAAATTTAAACAGAACATTATTTTTGTACTGCAAAAATAGTCCAAACTAAAAATAGCAATTGTTTTCTTGATTTTAGAATTACAGTTGTGTGTTGGAAAAGCAAGCGCAGAAATGGGCTGATAATTGCCTTTTTAAGCATGCAGATACTGAATATGGTGAAAATATTTTCTCACTAACAACACCGAAACAATTTCCGATTTCTAGTAAGTTGGTTGTTTAACAATTCTGATCCATTCTAGTCTACGTATGAATTATGAGTCGCACGTATAGTGCAGTTTATCAAGTGTCTGCAGTTAATTTCATCTTGTTGGAAACTAATTATTACTTATCTCTAATTTTTAGCATTTACTGTTTCAATTTCATTATGTGTCATGCTGTATATCATATTAAATTTATAATAAGCTGCAATATTTGTAACAAATTATAACTGATTACAAAAGAAAGCTATCAGTGATCAAATCCAATACATATGCAGTACACATCCAATACATATGCAATACACAACTGTTAACTAATGTTGTGCAAATGCTGTTGTAATTTTTGTATCCTTACTCTGCAAAAGTCTTTTATAGCACATCGTAGATGCAATGAAGTTTTGTTTATGATTATTTAATTCAGAAATAAAAGAAACCATCGTTCAGCAGAGTTGTGAATCGTGGTGGGGAGAGCTGAAATCAGCTTACCCCGATAATCCGACCAATATTTTAACTTCTGATTTATTTGATAAGGGTGTTGGGCATTTCACTCAGGTTCGTATGCTAATCATTGTAAATGTTAAACTTACTAATTACATGTCAACATGTATTCAGTTTACTTAGATATGCTTGATGAGCAAAAAACAATCTCAAAAAGAAGTTAATTTATGGAATTTGAAAAGATAACTTCAAACTTCCGATCAAACTTTAGTAAGATTGATCTTCAGATGGCTTGGGCTAATACATATACACTTGGTTGCGCTATCACTACGAATTGTACGCAAGGAAATGTAATCAACACACTGGTTTTT